ACAAATGGCGCGGTAAACGCCATCTGTAGTACGATGCTACATTTTAGGATTACGTATGCTCCAACAAGGTCTATTTAAATATATGGATATCTACTTGCTGAAACGAATCCCGGCGTAGCTAACCCAACGTGATAGGCACGTTACCATAATCGAATAAAATAATTCGAAGTGGTCTGTATTTTGTCGAAACTGCCAGACGCGGATCGCGATTTCGATCATTTTGGATCTCATCAGCGCGTCGCAGACAGCTCCGACAGAACACAGACCAACTTATACCTGTTGTCTTAACAGCGCGTTTTAGAAAATACCACAAATGACGCGGTAAACGCCATCTGTAGTACGATGTTACATTTTAGGATTACGTATGCTCCAACAAGGTTCTTTTTGGGAGCTGTACCCTTAATTAAATGTGAGGGTTGGATGGGGTACAAACAGGTTATTTTCTTACCTGATTGACTAATTGCTGGAAGGCAGGTGCGTGCGGTGGTTGGTCAAGATCACTGTGAAGAGCATAATCCGTCAAAGCTTTCCACGGAGGTTGATAAGCTTGTACTTCCAACGGATGAACTCCTAACGGGGAGTCGTGCCTTACTGGAGAAGACGCTACCATCGGAATACCCTGCATCGCCCCGTAACCGAGCTTACGGCCATCCTGCACAAAAAACTATTCTCTATAAATATCAACCGCGATTAAAACGATCGGTATTTTCAATTATATAATTATGTAGATAGGAAGATAAAATAAAAAAAAAAATAGGATAAATAGATATTACTACACACTTAAGCAGATACGCGTAGAGATGTGCAAAATGGTTTTTTAAAAGTATTTGCATGCAATTGTTATTTTAAATGTAAAATACCAAATTGATTTTGTATTTTAAATTCTAATGCAAAATAGGTATTTTCAAATAAATATTTTTTTGTAGTACCTATTTAATTTCCTAGATTTACCTAAGTATAAAATATTTCTTAAAAATTTTTTTCTAGTGGTGTTAGCACTATACCACCAGCTGCGAAGATTAAGTATGATTCGTATTTTTCTGTTTGAAGTGATTGAAATATAGTTTTTCTATCTTTATGTTACAATTTCTTCAGCTCAGTAACAAATAATTCTTCTATATCCTTCCTTATTAGCCTTTTTTTGTTTTAATTGGAAAAAAGACACTGATGTCAAAATGGTTTGCTTAGCGTAAAAGATCAGAGTCAAAACAAGGTTGTAAATAATTTTATTGATGTAAAATCAACATCAATCATTTTATATCAAAATATTTACAACCCCATTTTGTTTTGCACATTGTAATAAGAGAAAGAAATGAAATCCATAGTTTCTTTAGCTTTTGTCATAATTCATAGAATTTCACAGTTCCTTGCTAAAGGTACGATAAGTGGTAATTTGGCAGGTGCTGATATCAATTTGAAACTTCAAAATCCAGTGGACCATGACATTGAACCCGGAAAACAATATCGATCCAATATTTCCAAGAAATTTAAAATTTTTTGGGCTCTCTTCAATTGGCAATTTTTACCCCTCCTCGCTGATCACCCCTGGTACATATACACCAAGACCCCTCTCCCCCTCTAGTTTTCACATAATAATTAACATATATGGTTTCAAATTATTTTTTGCAAATAGAAAGATTTCAATATAACTCGAAAAAAAAAGCGAGATTTCTCTAGAGGATATTGACTAAGTACGTGGAGCAAATCCCCCGGCCCCTTACGATCATGCATGGTATTTTTTTAAGACCCCCCCCCCGAATGGGTCATGTAGTAAGAGTACAATCCCTTAGTCCAAATCAAGTAGTCCGTTGTGGTATACTTTAACTGTCGTCGATATTTTCCTACCTGCTAATAGATAATGAATTTGAAAATACCTTAACTCCAGTCCATATAATNGATATTTGTATATCAGACCCGTTACCCTTATTTTATCTTTAGTGACTTGTAATTGTTCAAAATTTTCAATATTAATGTGTTGATAAGCATTTACCACAACTTCTGCGACTGTTTCGACCATGTGGGATTGTAAAATAATTTTATTGTTAATGTCATCTCTTATACTAAAAGAGATGGAAGGATGGACGAAAGAAAGACTTTCAATATACAGTCTAATTTCTTCCATGTCTAAATTTCGTTTAATTTGCTCTTTTCTAACTGGCATGTTGCATAAGAAATTTTCGATTGTTATTGTCGTTCCTATGCAAGGTCTAAAACGCCCTACTTCAACTGGGCCCCATTTACCGTTTTCGAAAGTTTTACTGTACGTGTTACCGTTTTCATTTACCCTAGATTCAATAACTATTTTCTTCGAACATGACACTATACTTGCTAAAGCTTCACCCCTGAAGCCGTAACATTTTGGTCTTTTTTCTAATTCTCTTAGTGATCTACATTTACTGGTTGCATAACGTGTTGCAACCAAATTCATGTTAACTTGTGAAATACCACAACCATTATCCACTACTTGTATTCTAAATGATGCTAAATTAATTCTTATGGCTATTGCACTTGATTTTGCATCTATACTGTTTAAAACCTACAATTTAATAAAAATTTATGACATTGTACCTATATGAAGGGATATAATTAATGATTAAACAGAAGAAAAGTATTTTTACATAATGATAAGGACGATAGTACGCGCGCCTAAACATGTTTTTATTTTTGAATAACGTAAACGTAATGAAGGAGCATACGGTTTTTAAAATTCAAATATAAGTTCAAATCAAATAAAATCAATCCTAATGGAATCCAAACTACATAAAAAATCTAATCTATAATATCCTGTAATTCTCCAGTAGATTAATCAGAATCAAATTTAAAGTTAGAAAGCATACAATTTTATTTTGTTTAAGTAAATAAGTTTCGCTTCCTGAGAGAATACGCAAGAAAGTTTAGTAAAGTTTTAAATATAAAGAATGTGCTATTTCCTTCCTTTTTTGTGTATGTATATATATGTAGCATTTCTTATCATCTATAAATATGTAATAATTGTGACTGTTCATATTTTGTACTTACTAATTCTATGACGCACTGCTTGAAACTATTTATTTTAAATCCACTTCTTAGTTGAGATGTAACACTTGGCGCTAAACTTTTTATATCCATTTTTAAATTGAACTAGCAACATAACATAGGGTTATAATGACAGTATTGAGAAAAGTCAAGAATAATTCATTTATTAACTGGCATGCAACCTTTTAAACAAGAAAACTCTAAAGCAGTGAAAGAGTTTCGTAATCCATCGCACGCTACGACTTTCCAAACTATTAATAGTAAAAAGCTCAGGTAATTTACTACGACCATGTGTAAAATGCCTATTTTTATCAAAACATCATAAGAACGTGTTTTCCTGAAAGTATGACTTTTTTAAATCAAATTCTTGAAAGTTATTAAATTGAAATCATAAACAGTTAAATATTTCGAAGAGTCAATTAATTATATAAAGAAAAGATAAATATTTCCTTCCTATGTGTTTTATTAAAACAGTGAACAATAATGAAATAAATAAAATAAAACTTAAAATTATTCACTTAGCTTAAGCATAACAACTTACATTTAAAAGAAATACAATTATACATCACATAACTTTTCATGACAATAAAAGACGGATACAAATAACATTAAGTTACGTTAATAATAGGATTCACTAGAATTGAGTAATAAATTGTAAAACAAACACCCAATACTGGTTTTGGTTACTTTAAGAATATTATATCTGCAGACTCTTAAATGCATCAAATTAAATAATACTTTTAAAAAATGAGATAGAGCGGTATTTACTATTTCATTTAAACTTTCAATTAACTTATTCCTGCCCCACAGATTCATTTCTAGAACCAGCATTTCTTTTTTGTTGTGACATATAAGTCTCTTTCAACATTTTTAAATTTTCTTCGAGAGACGCAACTTCTTCAAATCGGTTCGCTTTCCTGGCTTGCTGGATATAGTTTCTAACGATATTCATTTGTTGTAAAAGAGGATCGTCAGAAACGTCTGGAACATTATTTTCAGACGCATTATCGGGTGACCAGCCCGTAGTTACAGCCACTTTTCTAATTTTAGGAATACCCAAAGGCTGATGTACCTCTGTGACCCTATAGGAACGTCCCTTTTTAATTTTTTCAATTTCTGCAGGAGTTGGAAGTACTGGCTGATTTAGGACATATTCTTTGATGTACTGATAAGTTGCTTGTCGGATAGCTGCCTGGATTTTAAGATTAGTTTCATCTTCTGGAATGTTCAAGATGCGTTTACTGATTATGTCCAATTGTTCTGCATGCTTTGCTATTGAGGCTCTTAATGACTGAGCATCCTGAAGCGAATATTTAGAGTCTCCATCCATTATTGAATCATACATCTATCAAAGAGTACTATCAATGTTAAATTAGCTTAAGAAAATACAAAAGTAATAGGACAGTCTAAAATTTTGTCCCAATTTAAGAGCATAAACAATAATTTTCTGCATATGTAATTTAGAGCTATAAACTTGAATTAACTGAACAATATCAGTATCCTTACTAAGTCAAATTGCATTTAAAGTTCTTTAAAAAAAATGCTTTACCTTTTTATACAAATCAACCAAAGGTTCCAATTCACACTTGACTTTGTGCAATTGTTCATACATCTGACAAATTAAAGGCTTTTCTATTTGAGAGATTTGAACTCTTCTTCTTGTCTCCAATAAACCCATACAATGATTACATATCCTGATACTATCCATATCATTTTTAATAGTAGTATCTCCTTTATTTAATGTATATACTGATGTCACAATGGATTCTACAATTCTTCTACTGAGCAAAGGTTGTTATAATTATAATAAAAACCTACTTGCAATTTCATATGGCAAAAATGTGGAGCAACTGTTGCACATAATACTGCCACAAAGTCTACAGTGATGTTGCCTTCTGGTGATGTTAAAAGTGCTTGCACAGGATGGACATCGAGTAACGGTTGTTCCATCCAACCATTGAACAAGTTCCTGTTCATTTTGTTTCCGCGCCGAACCATCCAAGTGAATTAATTTATCTAGTCGAATTATAAGCTTATTAGTCTCTGTTGTCCTGTGATCTAAGCGATTTCTTCTCACATCTTTAAAGTATTCAGTATGATCACGAAAATGACCAACTTCTTGAGAAACGTTCGCAGGATCTAAGAAATATTGCTGCTTTGGTATATATTTGTTTACTTCCAATTCCTGTTCATCTGATTTTAATATCTTCTTTTTGGCTTTGCTCACAAGATCTAAAAATTGAAATGCAGTAAAACAAATGACGTTTACCTAACCTATAATTACCTTTTATAGATGTAAGAAGGTCCTGTTCTTCAGAATGTAAATCTTGAAAATGAACCAATAAAGCATTTGGAGAACGTAGATCTTGGTGGCAGACTGGACATAAAAATCCTTCTTTTATTACGGCTTTATACCCCGATTGTGCCATGAAAACAATTATAACCTTAAAACTACTTCATGAAACAGACTTAGTAGTGTCTAAAGTTAAGACGTCGTTTTTCTTGGTGCTGCTTATGTAGCACACATCC